AGTACCCATCCTGGCAATAATAAATTTTTTTTCCTATAACTTTCTTTATCATATAAGCACCTATGAATATTGCACTTTCATGAAAACAGGAAAGTTGGAAATAGCGTAAAATTCACAGATTTCAGAAGATTGACTGCACCTAATTACCAACTGTTGATTTCTTCTACTAATTAGTAATCACAGTAGAGAAATTATGAAACCATGCTCTAGCCAACCAGTTGAGGAAGCATGTCTTGCCATGAACTAAAAAAGTAGCCTAACATGGTTAGATAACAGATGTTAGGCAGCATAGAAGAAAGAAATAAGCAATATAAATGAAACGAAAAATGAAGTGCCTACCTCTTCCAAGAGTGCCCTGCTTTTCAAACGCAATAGTCCCTTGGGTGGAGCAGGTGGGAGACTTTTCTTTGGAAATTCCCTTTTAAGCTGTAGAAGACAAATAACATATATGAGAAAGTCCTTAGGTTAGTATATTATATTTTACAACAAGAACTGACAACCCATTGTTTGCCATAATGATACTCAAGCAATTATGTCTTTGAGTTTCCTTACAGGTGAAACAAAAGGGGAAATTCTTGCTTTACCAAAATGCCACTTACATTAGTAAATAACTTCAAAAAGTCATTAAATCTTCTCAACACTCCACGTGTGGTTGTAACCCCTTCCGGTGATTGTACACCAACCTGAACCCTGTAGAACTGCCCCTTAAGAATGTTAACATAGAACATTGTAGAATTCATATGATAAACAAAAAAAATCACAAACATCATAATGTGATTCAGTGTGTACATTCACCAAATAAACATCTGATATTTTGCAGCAGCTAGAAGCATTCAGAATATATAAAAGGAGAGGAAACAACACAAAGAATATACTTTCTCTCGTGTAGCTAGCAAAAGTACATTTTGAAGATACCAGCAATATTTCACAGACAAATTGGCTAGAGATTTCAGAAAAATTGATGCATCACCAATTTGACTTGACTAAGAATCTATAAATTATAAAATTGCTTTCAAGTTGTTTCAAGACCTAGAAATACTTCATAGTTGTTCAAGGAGGGTCACTAGAGAATGACTGTGCAGACTTCTCTAATCCAAATAATAGTATGCCATTGGTTTGAACAATTAGTAACACCATCAAACTGAACTCCAGAAAGTCCAAAATTCTTAAGACATAAAGTTCAACCATATGTAATTCCTATCTTCTATTAAAATTTTTCTGAAGTGCAATAAAAAGAAGTAATATATTACAAAATTTTAAATTGTAAAGCAACATTAACATTCATATGTTGCAATTGATTTCCATTAAACTAATAAGGCAAACCCTACAAAACAAACTAGAAACACATCTAATCGCTGGCATATATTAACACTTGATGAGGATCAATTTGAGTACCACTACAGGATCCGAATCTCTTGATTTTGGGAGGACAACCCAAGAAGGTATTGTAACACAGTAACTCCATCCTGTGTGAGGATCATGTGGCCAAACAGTTTCCTGCCCATTCTGCAAAGGACAGATGAACCATGCCATAAATACTAATTCAATCACAACCTTTTATAAAGCCAAACAATTTAATTGAAAGAAGCTGATAGAGGAGCAGGAATTTAAGCTCTATCACATAACATTTGCAGAAACAAAATCTGGCTTGGTGTCAGCACTTCAGCAGACTGTAAAAGATGGGAGAAGCCGAGAAAGTGAAGATTTAACTCAAAATGCACATCCATGAAGCCTCAGCCTTGATTTTCATTTAAAGTAAAATATTAAATTCACTCTACAAAACCTGATTACTTTGGAGGATTCACCAGATTGCTTATCAAAATCCAGATGCAAGTTCAAAATTGCGTGGACAAAAAATAGCTGATGTACATATTTGATGGATTGTAGAAATGGAAAGCAAAAAACCAAAAGTTTGAAACTTTATTAAGTTGACGTATGTAGAGAACTAATTAAATATCCGTTAAGCAATAAATGTCACATCCATTTCATTTAAGAAGGCAAAAAATTACATGTGCCTGAATATCTAGCAAACAAAGCTAATTATGTTTGGGTAAATTAATCATCTTTTCATCATAGACCATATATACAACATCCAGACACATACTAATTTATTCTTCTTTCCTCTAGATGGATTTAACCAAGAAATACTAGTATCCAATACTTAAAACACTGATTTGGGATTCTAAAATCCCAGTGACTATTAGTTCATTTTGACCACCGGGATTCAATACCCTGGATTGACTAGATAGCTAGCTTAACAAGATGGCTGAAATTTCATCTGCAAAAGAGCTTTTTAAAGTTGCAGGTTCTAGTGGAACAAATCAAATTATGAAAATTTCTGCACATTTCTATAATTAAAGTACAAACTCATTGGGATTTCAGAGATATTTCACTGAATCAAATAAAATCAATGAAAACTTCGATTCGGAAACTAACCCATTTTCTGGGCGGAGGACTCCAATCCATCCCGAGAGGCAGCGGCGAAGTCCCATCGTGCCTGTGCTTCGGTGGACTCCGTCTCTGCATCTTCCCCCACTCTCTCTACAATTCTCTGCCTACCTCTCCCAAAAAAAAAACGACAAGGAACATTCAATCAAACATCCGATCAGCCTCCCTCTCCAATTCACAGAGAAAGAGCTAGGGTTTATGTGATCGGCTCAGAGAAAGCAGACAAAAGAAGAAAACTTGAAAACACGTCACCCCGCAATTTCGTTCCACAGCTTTATTCCAGCACAAAACGACGGAGCACGCATAAAGAGGAGAGGAGAAGGTGGCAACACGGCGGAGCAAAGCGGAGGCTGTGTCACCTTCTTCGAAATCTGTTCGTTTTTGGCCTTCCCAGTGAAGGACGAAAGGAATCCTGGATGCTACTGTTTAAGTCCTTCGTATCGAAAATTCCATCTCGCCTTTTTCTTTATTTATTTATTCGAAATTAATTCTACTTCATGGGTTAATTAATTGATAATTCTAAAATGGAATCTGTTTTTCCTTCAAGTCACCGGACGGTAAAACATGAACAGTAAATAGAGGACACTTTATAATAGGCCTATTTTTATTTAATAATTAATATTATATATTTTAATATAATTTAAATTGTATATTATTTTTTTCTTTTAAAAAAATTGTGGTTTAACGAAATATAATTTTAAGATAGCAGTTTTAGAAATTTATTTTCAGAAAAGGACTAAATTCCTAATTTTTCTAAATGAGGACTTTTAACTCTTAGAGTCTGTTTGGTATGACTTGTGAGAGCTTTTGCTTTTTTAGTATTGTTATGAATGATAAATTTAAATTTTTATTGAAGGAAAAAATAAAGTTTTAGCTTTTAAAAATATAAAATAGTGAGTGAAAAGTAAGTAAAAAAAGAATTTATAAAAAGTTTGAATTTGAAACTTGAAAACTTTTATTGTTTAAGAGTTTTTTTAGTTTAAAAAAATATTTAAAAATGTACAATTTTAAGAGAAAAATATAAATTCATGAGACATTAATAGTATTCAGAAGCTGAAGCTCCTAGGAGCCACACCAAACAGCCCAAGTTTGTGTGAATTGAGAAGGTCTTCGGGCCATCATTATATTGTTGATTTATAATTGTTTAATGATAATTTTGATATATTATCATAGTTCACAAGTGTGGTTGTATGTTGATTTATGTATATTCAGGTAAATGAATAATAAATTTAATTTTTTTTTATTTTGATTACATGTCAAGTTATTATTAATTGATTATATTATTAGTGTTTTTTAATAAACAAATAAATCACATTGTTAACGTGGTACAACAATTATATTATAAACTTTCTTCAAGCTTTTTTCTATGCCTTAAATCTTAAATTTATGTCATTCTCTCAAAGAATGTTCTATTAACGTTGTCTCACTCTCAACACCAGCTTCAGCTCTTCTTAAGGGACAATCTTCATACTCACTAATTTTTACTAGGGTTGTAATTTTCCCCTATGATTTGCTGTTAATTAACCAATAGTGCATGTCGTAGTAGCTTTTGAACCTATATAGTCTTGGTCCCTGGCCGCGCTAATTGCAAGCGAATTGTGAGCTTCAATGACCAATCTGAGTAGATTTATGCAGGTTAATTGATAAATTGCAGGTTTTTTCCCATTAAAAATATAAGGGCTAAATTATTAATAGTATAGAATTTGAGGGCTCTCTTAGAGAAAAACAACAAATAAAGAGGATTAAAAGGCTACTTACCTTTTTTTTTTATATGTATTAACTCTTAATATCTTGTAGTCGCGTTGGATCTTAATTAATTCAAAATTAAATTACGTTGAACTTTATAAAAAAAAAATTTTGTTAATACTTATTTTTTATTTATAAAATTAAAACTAAAGTTTTTATTTAAAGGAAACAAAATTTTTGTCGACCCTAGCGAACAGGTCGTTGGTAGCTACCTGTCTTCGTTGCCATCTGCATTGGGCTGCTTCACCGGCAAGAACGGGAAAAGTTCCCAAAACTACCGAGCCGTTTCCCAAAGGCGTTATTTTCTATATTTTCATGGGGCCTTGAAGCTAGAACACTAGAACAGGACATCAAGCCCAACGTTTGGGTTTCTAGTGTACGATGGCCTTTTAAGGTTGCTTGTCTGAACCGTTGGGCTTCTTATTTGGGTCTAACCCCAATGTTGCTGCAAAAGCTCCAATCAACAGGCCCAGGGTCATTAGACCATAAGAACACCCTAAAACTTCTAAATTTTTTCAAAATGGACCATGCATTTTTTTTTTTTTAAATCTAACATGTGCCCTTTGTGTACATATTAAAAATATATTAAATATATTTTTAGTATAAAATTATATAAAAAAAGAAAAATTAAATTGATCAAATTATTAAATTTAAAATTTTATTTACATTAATAAAAATTTATGAATTGAATTAAAAATCTAGAATACATATGAGAGATAACATGGAATCTTGCTTTTAATCCAAACGGAAAAACAGTCAACAGTCAAAGCAAACTTCCGACGCGCGTTATTTCCATCTACCGCACAGTCTTCGCAATTCAATTCCCCTTTCCGCCGAAAACAGGAAAAATCCAAAACCAATTCAATCGCTTGAGCTGAAAATTTTCCTGAATTTTTCAATTTATTTATTTTTTTCCAGTTGAATTTCCAGCTCGATCGGTTTCCTATTTATAGAAAAGAAAAGGGAGATTTTGTAAATTGGAAGGGAAAGCTGTTGGTGTCAATCGGTTTGCCGACTGGTAGATTGGCCGATTCGAGGGAAGGGGGGGAAAATTAGGTATTGGCTTTAGATGGCGATATTGTATGCGCTGGTGGCTCGGGGATCGGTGGTGCTGGCGGAGTTCAGTGCGGCAGCCACCAACGCTAGCGCGATCGCTAGGCAGATACTGGAGAAGATACCGGGAAACAACGACAGTAATGTTTCTTATTCTCAAGATCGATATATCTTCCATGTGAAGCGCACCGATGGCCTCACCGTTCTCTGTATGGCTGATGACACCGCCGGAAGTAAGTGAATTCTCATTCCTTCGAATCCCGTTTGACTTTATTTTGCCCGGCCTTTTGGTTTGATTTTGAGATTTCAATATGTATATTTTTTGGGTATGATGCCAACTTTCATTTCTGTTAAGTGTTATGCTCGATTGAGTCGATTCTCATTTGTTCTGTGGCATTGTCTTTCAACTGGATATGGAGTTGGGGTTAGAGTTTGAAGACTTAAAAGTTACATGCTTGGGTGAAATTTTAGATTTTTTTTTTTTGGATAATGATGTTTATGATTGGATATATGAAGTGCTGAGTTAATACTATAGTTTGTTTGTTGAAATTGGAGATTGCTGTGGAAGAAGAATGTATTAAAGGAAAGTCCTTTGTTCTTGAGGAGCTTTAAACTGTCCATTTGGATATTTGAAGGCATTGGATAGAGAATGATAGCATGAGAGTTATCTGCAAATCATGAAAATGACAACTTTGTGTAATCAATTGCAACGGTTATGTGCTATGGTTTCTTTGGGCCTTGAAAGCATATAGTTCAAGTTGGATTCCCCAAATGGCTTTCTGGATGATTTTCTGCAGTGGTTCCACGAAATTGGTGCATTTCTGCTAATGAGTTCTCTTATATGACATGGATTTTGTTATTCTTAATCTCCAAATTTACAAATTAATTACGTTCTAGCATGGTTAATTAGTTAGAGGCTTAAATGTTTGTTCTTTAGGCCATTCTGCTTCCTTTTCCAAAAAAATAATATTAGAATTTAGAATTTAAATTAGTTTTATAACACACATAGGCCATAGCTGATAGAGACTGAAGGTGCTATACTGGTACCTCATATGGCTCTAGATCTTGTGAGAACTATTCATCTAAGAGCTTCTTCCTTTGTTCAAATGTAAAACATATTTAATATACTCTTTTTGCAGGGAGAATTCCTTTTGCATTTCTTGAAGATATTCATCAGCGATTTGTGAGAACCTATGGTCGTGCAGTCTTCTCAGCTGTTCCTTATGGCATGAATGATGAATTTTCAAGAGTTCTGAGCCAGCAAATGGAATATTACTCAAGTGACCCAAATGCAGATAGGATAAATCGACTAAAAGGTGAAATGAGTCAGGTAGGTTTTGAATGTTATGATTATTATAAATTCTAGGTATCAATCATATCAATGTGATTTTGATTTGACAGTAATTCAGGTGTCAACCAGTTATGGTTCTGTATGAGACTGAGTTTTACCTCCTATAACAAACAACTGATGAAATATCTTCACTTTGATTTGTAAAAGAATTATTTTTATTTTTTTATCAGTCTACCTCCTGATACTATTGTGTTTCTATCTGATCCTCAGTCCCTAGCAAAACTGCATGGATAGAAAAGTTAATTTCTCATTCAAGTGAATTTGCTAATTTGTCTAGGTATTCGAAAAGAAACACTTATTGATACATCTAAAGGAGGAAAAAGGACACATTAACAGTATAGACAGAGGTTGTATGTTAAAATTTTTGTCAAAGGCATTCTCCTTGGATTTTTTTTTTCTTATTTTTTTATTTTTTGATAGTATGCTTGAATTTCTCATTTGCAATGGGTCCTAAACTCCCACTGTTTGATCCTGTACTTTACAGGTGCGTAATGTCATGATAGAGAATATTGACAAAGTTTTAGAGAGAGGTGATCGTTTAGAATTGCTGGTTGATAAAACTGCCAACATGCAAGGAAATACATTTCGCTTCAGAAAGCAAGCACGTCGTTTCAGAAATACAGTATGGTGGAGAAATGTCAAGCTCACGTATGTTCTATTTACTTCACTTTTTATGTGATTGTTTGCATTGGAATAATCTTCAAAATGCTGTTACTTTGAATGCATGGAACCATCAATAGTAATATAGCATATGCGAGTTGTAGTGTTGTACTATTAAATGACAAAGGTTTTCTTATCATTCCCAAAATAAGGAGTAAAATTTATTTTTCCTACCAACATTAGGGTCGATTTCTGTAGAAAGTGGAAATTCATCTAAATTGAATGAGGGATGATGGAGAGATAGGGGGAAAGAAGAATAAATGATTGGAAGAACAATTCTTCCCATGCCCTGCCTAGTAAAAAAGCTCAGTTAGATGGTTGGCTTAAACTGTAAGTGGATGGATTTCTTGCCAACTGACTTGCTTTTCACATTTCAGGGTGGGGCTGATCCTCCTCCTCCTTGTGATTGCTTATGTTGTGCTGGCTTTTGTCTGCCATGGGATTACACTACCGAAGTGCATAAAATGAGGTCTATTGTTCAAATGAGATCTAAAGGCCCAGCCACTTCACAGATTTCTCCCTTATTTTCATTTTCCTTTTTCTTTTCTTTTCTTTTCTTTTTTGGTCCTTTCTAGCTACATGTGTTTTTTTTTTTGTTTCAATTCCTCTGCTGTGAGTTGCACCAAAGTTTTTATTTATTCAATTTGAAGTTTGTTCCGCTCTTAGCGTATTCTACAGGTTTTGCCTGCAAAAGAAAATACTAGAACTGTGTGAGTTAGTATGCTTGTGTAACCATTGTTCTTGTCTGAATGTTGAAACTGGTTCATGTGCTTGCTAAAATCTCTAACTGATTTCTTGATTTACCATTCTTGTTGAACATTGAAGTTGGATTAATCATGCAAATGGACTCCATTTGCAAGTTCTGTTTCCATATTCAAGATCATTCTGAGATTTTCATTTGAATGCCATCTCAGATATTGTTGCATTTTTGAGTAGTTCAGATTTCACAAGAAGAGATTGCATCCGTAGTCTATGGATCATGAAAATCCAGTATCTTCAATTTTGTAAATTAGTAGATAAACTCATGAAAATCAATTGAACTGTTTAACAAAGAAAAAAAAAAAAAAGATGCATAAGGGTTAATGAGAAAGACAAACTCGATCAATTTAAATTAAACATATACATTTATGGAGGAAATTTCTAAAAAAAATTAGAAAGAAAACACTTAGAACTCCATTGATTCAATGGAGTTTATTAAAATAATGTAATTTTAAAATTATTTTTCTCATAAATTTTCAGGAGCCTTATATTAACTATAAACACATTCTTCTATTATAAAGAAAAGCTTAGTATTTCTTACATTAGCGTGACAATATTAGGCTCTGCTAGACTAAATTGTCCTCTACAAGGTTGAATCCGTTCAACAACCCCTGCAATTCTTGCAATGCAATATTATAATGTTCTTGAGATTGTGCTCCTTCTTCAGCTACTGGCAATACCTGCTTAAACAGGTGACTGCACCAGTATACTGGGTCATAACCTTCAACATTACTAGAGCCATGATCATTAAGTTGCCTGCACTTGAAATCTTTACAGAATCGCGGCAGAATATACCGTGAGGGTATTTCTTCCACGCCATTATAATTAAGAACATTTAACGCATGCCTGCATAGATAACCTTTATAGTTGAACAAACTGCAAATGCATCGGATATCCACTTGACTTGTCTCGTATAAAACCTCATAAATCCTAACTTCCTTCTCATTTCCTTCAATTTCTACTCGTTCTTTAACTATATATGTTATTATTGGCCCATTCACACTAACCTGTCTAGTGTTGAAGCAAGAGTACATCCCCTCAACTTCAGATTGGAACCTTTTGAAGATTTCTTTAGTATACACTTTGGAGAGCTGGGCCTCAAAATTACATCTAGTTTTCAACTCGAAGCAGGAATTTCTTGACTCCAGATCTGCCATGGCTTCTTTCAGGTGCTTTCTATGTAAAATGAGATCATACTTATCAACAAATTCCTTAAAAGATGTATGCTTGTGTACATAACCATCAAAAAATGCATTCAAGCTCTCGTTTTCATGGATGGGGATCATTCCAGCGAAAAATGTGTCCTTCAAGTAAACTGGAACCCACCTCATCCTGTCTTCATACAATGTCCGGAGCCATTTGTTATCCCCTAGGCCATGCTGCCTGATCATTTCAGCCCAAGAAGCTTCAAACTCAGCTATCTTTAGGGAGTTATAGACAGCATTATTCAATTGCCTTTTGATAGCTTCAAATCCTTTCAATCCCCCTAACTTCTCTGGAACTCTCTGTATAATATACCACAAACTATAACAGTGACAAGCTTCTGGGAAAACCTCAGAGACAGCAATTTGCAAGGCCTTATGTTGATCAGTAACAATGACTTGGGGTTGACGCCCCAACATGCATTTAAGCCATGTCCTAAAAATCCAAACAAAATATTCCACCGACTCATGACCAACAAAGCCACAACCCAACAACACAGATTGTCCATGGTGATTCACTCCAACAAATGAAATCAAAGGAATTTCATATTTGTTTGACAAGCATGTAGTGTCTATTGCCACCATGTCACAAAAATAAGCAGATGAAGTCCTTGACCTTGCATCAGCCCAAAACACATTCCTTAGACGACCATCATCATCAAAATCCATCAAGTAAAAGAAGTTTGGATTTGTCAACTTCATGCGACATAAATAGTTATAAACTGCATGTGCATCTCCCTCTTTAAGTTCCAGATGTCTGGAGTGATCAACAGGAGTGATGCTCTCTCTTTCATCAGCATTTGAGCATCCATTACGTCCAGCATCCATTGAAGCTGTTCCATACAGCTTGATGGTATGTATTTCTGTGACAGGCTCTGGTGATGGTTGTGCCTTTCTTGCTGCAACAATCATTTTCTTATGTGACTTATAAAACCGTTTGGTTTGTGGACTCACAGGATGGTTGTGTTCAAGCTCAACTTCAACTATTCTCCACCTTTTAGAGTCCAAAAGCCTAATTACTATCATTGCAGGACAACCAGTTCTTGTTTCGGGTCTTGGGTTGTTGGCTTCACTCTTCTTTTTGAAACCTGCACTACTACAACTAAGTTTGGCTCTATACCGCTCCTTCCTCTTAGATCTGAACCAGGAGTTGCTAACTCTGATACCAAAACCCTGTTCCTTGCCATAAATATTATAGAAATCATAGGCTTCCTCGAAAGAATCAAACTCCAAGCCGACCGTTGGGGGATGTGGCTCCTTCTTTGAATGCTTTTCACCAGTTTCATTATCATGTTCCATTGGACCACAGTCTCCCCTACTGTCATACTCATCACCCTCATCAAAAACGGGCTCACTATTGAGACAAACTTCTTCCATCTGAAAAACGAAGAACAAATGAATGAAAGAAGACAACTTCTCTACGTATCTGACACCAAATCAACGCATATTTATGAACTATCAATACATCAGTTAGGGTAAATCAAAGTTCCTAAATACAATAAACATGTAAGCTAAACAGGTGTAAGATCAGATTTCATAATAACTTCATTCACACAATCACAATAACTACATTTCCGGATACGATTCCATGTTCATAAAAGAGCTGTGAGCGAATAATGAACTGAAATCTATGAAAAGAATAAAAAGACAACAATTCAACGCACCTGTAACCTTACTTCCAAGACCAACACAATGCAAAAGAATGCAGCAAGAAAAATGGAACATACATATCTGTTAATCCATTATGACCTTACAATGACTTCAATAGGGACTTTGTGCAAAGTGCAAATCAAAGTTAATTTTCTTAATTCCTCACTATGCTTGTATTAATTCAGGTTTTAATTCAGTTGGATTATCAATGATTAAAACAATAACTCTGAGCATTAATTATCATGATCCTCATAATCCTCCGACAGATTCATTAGAAAAATTTCAACACAGTTTTGAATATCAACTATGTTCAAGCCAAACACTTGTCTTGTGCACAATTTCTTAGTTTCAAGACTTCAACTTTTCTCGTCTACCAAACAGGAAAAAAAAAAAAAAAACAAACCGATCGAAACCCTAGTCGGAAAGATGAAAAAAAGGGTGAAAAGTAAGTTCAACTTGGAAATTGATAGTGTTAGAGTGAAATTTCCGGCGAATCTTACAGCGAATAACGGGGCGGGACCGGCGACGAGGTGAGAGAATCGGGGAATTGAGTGGCGGCTCCGAGTTGGCGCTGAAGGGAAAACGCGAGTCACACTGGGGCGTACAGAGGTTTCGTAGATCTATCCACCCAGAAAGCTGACACGTGGAGTTCTGAGTTCAACGGCTTTTATAGTGACGTGGTGCTGTTTTTCCTCCCACCTCAGCCGTTGCCTTGCGATAAGTGCGCACACTTAGTCCTTAAACTTTAATGATATGTTCATTTTAATCTATCAACTTTCATTTCAATCAGTCAAGCTCCTTAACTTATTCCCTTGGCTTTTTTTTTTTTTTTTTTTTTTTTTTGTACTAACCTCCCGGTGTCCAGTAATCACATTAGATCCCGACTAATTCGGAATCAAATTACGTCGGACCCTATTTAGGGAGAAGCTCTTCTAACGTCTATTTTTTCATTCATAAAATTCAAACTTGAAATCTTATTTAAAGGAAATCGAGTTTCTTCCACTCGGATTAACAAATTATTGGTATTTTGTTAACTTTTTTTTCTTCTTTTTTTCTAAGAAAAATGCAATACGTAGTCTGCAATAAACATTTGCTTGCTAATACGTGATCATCATTTTATTTGGTACATTAAACAATTAATTACTCAACATATAAGAGATTTAATTATTAATTATAAACTTGACATGTAATTAAATTATAATCATATTTATTATAAGTACATACGTAAAGATATATGTGTAATATATCAAGGGGGAAAAAATCACTAATACTTCATTGGTTGAGTCCATACATTTTTTTTGTTCGTTTACAAAAAACTGTCAATGCCAAAGCAATCGTAATCTTCTTGTTGACAAATCCTCGTGTTCTGTTCGGGTACCATACAATCTGGTAGCTGGTTGCTTTCAAGCTGCCATTCCAAGTAGCTCATATGCATGAGTCTTATATTTCAAGCTCAATAATTCTTGTTTATTTTCAATTTATGTCAAACCTACTCATAAATGAAGAATTTATGAATTATTCGTGCTAGATAATAATTTAAAAATTTACAGGCATGATTTAAACATAAATAGAACATTATGTTTAATTATTTATTTTTTAAAATATGCTATGCAAAAAAATTTTAATTTTTTAAAATATGAATTAGATAATAGTGTTTTTCAATTGAAATTTAATAAAAATCAAGATCAATATGTATTACAAACACACACATATATATGAAAAAGTATGTATTGATTTTAACTCTTAAAATAAATTACAATTACAACCTTGAATTTTGTTCTTTTATTTAATTAAAATTCAATTTAAAATTTAAAAATATATTTTATTAAATATTAATATTTAGTTTTGAAAACTAATTATATTAAAATATATAATATATATTTACATTTAAAAAAGTTCTCAACTTTCAAAATAAATTGAAGTTCTAACTTTAAACTATATCATTTTATTCAATTAAAATTCAATTCAATTAAATCTTAATACTTAAATTTAAAAATTAATTATATTAAAATATATAATCAACTTTTAAATCTATATATCAATATTTAATAAGATATATTTTTAAATTTTAAATTAAGATTTTTTTTTTCAAATGTCAGTTAGGACTTCAATTTTTTTTTTGTTAGAATTGATATGCCCTGATCTTATATATATATATATATATATATTTAGTGTACATCAATCTTGACTTTTAAACAAAATCGAAGTCCAAACTTATATTTAGAAGTCAAAATCTTAATTTAAAATTTAAAAATTCATCATATTAAATATTGATATTTAAATTTAGAATCCAATTATATATTTTAATATAATTAGTTTTTAAATTTAAATATCAACATTTAATATGATGGTCTTTTAAATTTTAAATTAAATTTAAGTTAAATAAAACAATGTCATTTAATATTGAAACTCTAATTTATTTTAAAAATCAAAATAGATATGTATTTTTTCATATCTATATATATATTGAAATAGGACAATTAAATTATTATTTTATTCTTGAACATGTTACCACTTGGTGTCTGAGCAAAAGAGATTGAGAGAGTATCCACTGTACGGATACAAGTGGAACTTACAAATTAAAGATCTGAAACTAGGACATATATATAAACACCCAACTTGAAGAATGCAAATGACCTAAATACAACTTTCCTAAATATAACATGAGCATCCAATGTGGAGTTCATTATAATAGGTTAAATATCTCATATTATATTGAATTTCTACTTAGCTGACATTTGTGAGATTTTTCTGTGTAACACGCCTTTCCAATTGTAGGCATAGCGTGACATTTAAGATCTATTCCAAGTTTGGTATTGATTTCGGGTGTCATGTGGCACAGAGAGAGAGACTGATTTTTTGTTTTTTAACATGAGAGAATTTGAGGATGGGATAGTTGTTTTTAAGGGAGTTAAACTCTTGATCAATTACATCCAAGTATTTAACATTTAAGATGAATTATTGAGCCCGAATGTCCGGTTCAAGAGAGAGATTGAATTGAATAGAATACAATATGAGAAAGCTAATTCATGTCTTTATCCACTAAATTAAAGAAAATATGTAAATAAAAATATTAATTTTTTATTTCTTATTTTAAAGATATTAATTTTATCAGTTTTTATATAAAAATATAAATTTTTTACTTTTTTTTATTTAAAAATGTAAAATTTTAATTTTTTTATTTAAAAATATTAACTTTCAATATTTTTTATTTAAAAAATTAATCTTTTTAAAAAAATTTATTTGTTACGTCATCATTAGTATCAACTTAATCTTTAAATATAAAAAGTTAAAAATTAATATTTTTTAGTAGAAAAAATTAAAAGTTGATATTTTTAAATAAAAAATTCAAAATTCATATCATTATTTAAAATCTGAAAAAATTAATATCTTTAAATAAAAAAAATATAAAATTAACATTTGTATTTGCACATTTTCTCCACTAAATCTTATGTTTCATTCTTTCAAAGGAAAATTGGTAAGCTTATTAGATGTAAATATAATGAGTTAGAAGCCCTGCATGAATTTAAATATTTTAACTTTATAGTTAAAGAAATTGAAAAGGATAAAAAGTGATGATTCTTTTCTTTATCGGTCAAAAGAGAGAATCAAAAAAGGAATGCAAAAAGTTAGTCTACTATGTATTTTATTTGATTATTATCCCTAATCTTTTCAAACAACTACACTTAAAATCAAAAGGATTTATTTTATTCAATAAAAAAATGCACAAAAAGAGATAAATTTATATAAGTGTGATCAAAGATTGTCCTTTTTGATTGTTATGTGTAACTATTCTATTTAAAAGATTTGAATCCAAAATGTTGCAAGAGATGGTTAATAAAATAGATGGTATATTTTATAATTATTAGTGAAAATAGATTATTATACAAGATTCATAAAAGAAATTATTATAATATTAAAAAATTAATTTTTTATAATAATTATAAAATATGTAAGTTATATAAAATATATTGTATATCACTTTTTGATATTCCACTCTATTAAAAAAGTTTTAAAAAGTATTTAAGAAATTTAGAAAGGTATGCAAATGGAAACTAATGATTCTCCCTTGGTTCCTCCCTATTACCCTCCTTTACCAGTCAAGGAAATTCAGAATTTCCACTCACCAATTTTAATTCGATTTGGTCAATGGTGGAGCAAAATTCCATTGGCCAATGGAATATTGGAGTAAACAAAAGCAAAAACAATTTTTGCAGGACCTACTATATCCTGGCTCCTCCTTAGAATAAAAAAGAAAAGATTTTTATAATAAAAAATAATTTTAAGGTATTTTTTTTATAAATATATATAATATATAAAAATTAATATTAATTTTAGTATTAATATTAAGTGAAAAAATTTAATTATATAATTAATAAATTAAATATTAAAATTTATTTTTTAAATATAAGTTTATGATAAAAATATTTATTTACTATTACAATACATATTAAAAATTCATTACAAAAATTAAAAATTTTGACCCTACTGTTTCTGGCTCCAGCTTATGTAGGACCGTCCGATTGGAATACTTTTCAAGTTTTAACCTTTGATGATCATCATTAACAAGGACATCAAAACAACGCAACAATCATACCCTGCGATGATGGGCCCCCACTCCCGAAGGTTCCATACGGTGCTGGCGTAGCCCAATAGAATTACGGAGACAGATACAGTCAACTCGATCACGTGCATCGTAATTCGTCTAGTCGGCCCCATCCATTGTGGTGTGGGGCGCAGCGCACGTGTAAGCATTTTAACGGCCTGGTGGTGGTACCAGTATTGTAACTTCCTAACGGCCCACTGCCCAATAGCCAACGGCCCATGAACACTTTCTTCATGACCCGCGAAACGCCAACCCTCGCACAAGGCCACTGGCAATAGGAGGAGAGGGGAAATTGTAAATTGTAAATTTCATCCCCAACTTTTTTTTCGCGTCAATTGGGTCCTCTACTCTTTTAGATTGTGAAAATTGGACTTTAATTAATAAGACAAGGAAAATGTTATGGTACCAACCAAACAAATAAATCTATGTACAACCATTAATGAACCATGTCTAAAAATTTAAAGCAGGCAAAACCTATGCAACAAGGGCTTTGCTTCATCCCTTTTATTAAAAAAAGAAAAAAACACTTTGAAGCAAGAAATATGAACACCTTAATGTGTAAATAAAAAACAAGTTAAAAAAATGATAAGAGGAAAAACACAATTTAGAGCTTGCATTTTTTTCAAAAAAAAAAAATATTCCATTTAGGTGCTTGAATGGAGATAGTTCTTATCCTCTATAATTTGTGTAATAGGACAAAAACTTATACATCTCTAATTTTTAAAATGAAAAAAAAAAATAGATATTAAGTTAATAAACTATTGTCTTGTCTCCATTACAAGTTATTATTCATCTCATATTTTAATGTAAGTATTAACTAATTAACACATTATAAACTTACAATAAAAATTAATTACTTAACAAACTCACAAACTAAACAAAAACCAATACATAAAACTGGATTAAATTTCTACAAGGTTTTGGACCTATACGGCTATACCTTATCACCATAAGAGAGGCCCAATTGGAAAAATGTTTTGGGGTACATTAAAATGCTAAATATAAAGATTAGGACCAAATCACGAAATGTACTACGTATTTATTTAACCTAAATGGGGAAAAAAAGGAAAAAAGATGTACGTACTTTACATCAAAAAGAAAAAAAAATAAAATAAAAGAGAGAAAATAAAAATAAAAAAGAAAAAGAAAAAAAGATGAGGGCGGCGCAGGTTAACTATGGTGCGCTTCCGATTGTCCAAACACGCCTCCTTCCCTTACCCTCTTGCACCACACCACATCCATCACGCTCTCTGTCTCCAAACAAAAACAGCTCTCTCTCTATCTCTAAGGAGGTTTTGATCATCGGAAAACCGGAGTAGAGAGAGGCGGTGGAAGCCTCAACAACCGTAATGAAGCACAGCTCCTCGGAGGCAGTCTCCTCCTCCTCCCCCTCCTCCTCCTTCCCGGACCAATCACAGACCGCCACCTCATCTACGTCAGCATCGGACCTTCACTGTAAACATCTAGCATCCATATCGGCGGTGGATGACTTGGCAGGTGTGGGGTCCAGGGATGGCAGTGGTGGAGCCCAAGAAACGGTGACCGTCGAGCGCCGCGGGGAGTACTCAGCGGTTTGTAGATGGACGGTCCACAATTTCCCTAGAATCAAAGCTAGGGCACTTTGGAGCAAGTATTTCGAGGTCGGGGGATATGATTGCCGGTTGCTGGTGTATCCGAAAGGGGACTCCCAGGCATTGCCAGGGTACATCTCTATCTATCTCCAAATCATGGACCCGCGCGGCACATCCTCCTCCAAATGGGACTGCTTCGCGAGCTACCGATTGGCAATCGTCAATATCGGCGATGATTCCAAGACTATTCATCGGGATTCATGGCACCGGTTCTCCAGTAAGAAGAAATCCCATGGTTGGTGCGATTTCACCCCTTCCTCTTCTGTTTTGGATTCTAAATTGGGTTTTCTTTGTAATAATGACGCCGTTTTGTTCACCGCCGATATCTTAATCTTGAATGAATCCGTTAATTTCATGCGCGATAATAACGATGTGCAATCATCTTCATCGTCCATGATTTCATCTTCCATCGTTCCGGGTCCTGTGTCTGATGTTTTGAGTGGGAAATTTACTTGGAAAGTGCATAATTTTAGCTTGTTTAAGGAGATGATTAAAACACAGAAGATAATGAGTCCAGTTTTCCCAGCCGGAGAGTGCAATTTGAGGATTAGCGTGTACCAAAGCACTGTTAATGGCCAGGAATATTTGTCCATGTGTTTGGAGAGTAAGGACACTGAGAAGACTGTTGTGTCTGATAGGAGTTGTTGGTGTTTGTTTAGAATGTCTGTGCTGAATCAGAAGCCTGGGTTGAATCACATGCATAGGGATTCATATGGGAGGTTTGCAGCTGATAATAAGAGTGGTGATAACACGAGTTTGGGATGGAATGATTACATGAAGATGTCAGATTTTGTTGGACTTGAATCTGGGTTCTTGATGGATGATACTGCAGTATTTAGCACATCATTTCATGTGATCAAAGAGCTTAGCAGCTTCTCAAAGAATGGGGGTATAATTGGAGGGAGGAATGGGAGTGGTGCAAGGAAGTCCGATGGACATATGGGGAAATTCACTTGGAGGATTGAGAATTTTACTAGATTAAAGGATCTTCTGAAGAAGAGAAAGATTACAGGTCTTTGCATCAAGAGCAGAAGGTTTCAGATTGGGAACCGAGATTGCCGTCTCATTGTTTATCCGCGAGGTATGTGAGATTCATCGTGATTGTTTTTCTTAAAAGTTGGCTGTTCTGTTATTATTATTAATATTATTATTAATATTAATATTATTATTATTGTTATTATCATCATCATCATCATTGTTGTCGTTGTCATCATTATCTTAGATTTTGGTTACATGTTTTCTATAGCTTAAGCAACTGTGTGTTGATTTCAAATTCACTGTTGATCTTTGCCTTTGAATCCTTTGAGCCTGTATATAGGCAATGAATGGTAAATAGCTTTCATGTGCGCAATGTTTACCCTGATACTCATTGTCATTTCCTGTTAGCTAAGTAATGCACTCAAAATTCATTTAAAGTTGTTGTGTGGCTGTGTGCATTTTGATATACCAATACTTTAGTTTTATGGTACATCCTGCAATTAAAAATCTATTCCCTGCAGTTAAGATAGTGCAAGGTGGATTGACAATTGTTTAATTATGCTTGGGAAATTGGACTGATGAAATTTTCTAAATGCTTGAGGGTATCAGGGCAGTCTCAGCCACCATGCCATCTTTCTGTCTTTCTTGAAGTTACTGATTCACGGAATACTTCCAGTGATTGGAGCTGTTTTGTGAGTCATCGGTTGTCAGTTGTGAACCAAAGGATGGAAGACAAGTCAGTTACAAAAGAATCTCAGAACCGCTATTCTAAAGCTGCAAAAGATTGGGGTTGGCGTGAATTCGTGACGCTTACTAGTCTCTTTGACCAGGATTCAGGGTTTCTTGTCCAGGATACAGTTGTATTTTCTGCGGAGGTTCTCATTTTAAAAGAGACATCAATAGTGCAGGATTTCATGGATCAGGATGCTGAGACAGCAAGTCTTGGTGGTCAGATTGAGAAGGTTGGGAAGAGAAGTGCATTCACGTGGAAGGTTGAGAACTTCCTGTCCTTCAAGGAAATAATGGAAACCAGAAAAATTTTTAGCAGATTTTTTCAAGCTGGCGGGTGTGAACTCCGCATTGGTGGGTGGTTGTCTATTGTCATTTCTCCCTTCAACATTTGGTTGCAGTTTTACACTTGATTTAATTAATTGTTTTCTCACAATGCAGGCGTATATGAGTCATTTGACACCATATGTATATATCTAGAGAGTGATCAGTCCGTTGGTAGTGATCCAGACAAAAACTTTTGGGTTAGATACAGGATGGCTGTGGCAAATCAGAAGAACCCTGCTAAAACTGTATGGAAGGAGTCTTCTATTTGTACAAAAACATGGAATAACTCTGTTTTGCAATTCATGAAGGTGTCAGATATGTTAGAAGCAGATGCAGGGTTTCTTGTGCGTGACACTGTTGTTTTTGTTTGTGAAATATTGGATTGCTGCCCTTGGTTTGAGTTTTCAGACCTTGAGGTTAGTCTTTTTGGATCTATTCCATCCCTCCATTTTCTGTCATTCAATGGGGATGAAGTTGCTCTATTTTTCTTTTTCTTTGAACCTGTTTTTTGTAAAAATGTTTTGTGCTGGAGGCATTTTCAAATTGCAGAATTATCATAGCCAATCCATCTTGAGCTTATACAAGGCTGTTATTTCCTTCTACCACATTTGATTGTTGTTTAGATACATACCTCCTATATCAGTTCAATGACGCTAAACTGGTAGAAGAGGTCTATTCGATGAGGCTTCTATGGCTCTAAATGGTAAACCATGTATGTTTATCTGTCCCATCAAGTTTAGAAGATTAAAACGGAAGAAAGAATTCTCATTAGAATTTAATATTTGGTAAAAAGCAGTTGAGTGTTTGCCAGTGTCCTCTCCTATGCTTACATCTTTTGATATAATTATTTGCATGATGTGTTGTTGCTGAGAAAATGCTTTTTGCCTTGCATCATTCAACTAAAGCATTTATGGTTCATGAAAGCTTGTTAGATTGAACTTTTCATAAACCTTAGCATGATCATTCTCTTTGTTGAGTATCTAATGCACTTTCAATGATCATGTTCTTATGCTTGCAATTTTTAAAAAGGGTTTAATACTTCAAGTGCTTGTAAAGAATTAAATTCAGTTTTATGTAATTTTCTTTCATGTCACCTGTGACAATAGCATTGCCTTTCTTTGCCAGGTTTTGGCTTCTGAGGACGATCAGGATGCTCTAACAACTGATCCTGATGAACTCATTGATTCTGAAGACAGTGAACGGATAAGTGGGGATGAAGAAGATATCTTTAGAAACCTTCTTTCTCGAGCTGGGTTTCATCTCTCATACAGTGACAATTCTTCACAGCCGCAGGTCACTTTAAGAGAAAAACTGCTGATGGATGCTGGTGCAATTGCTGGTTTTTTGACTGGACTCCGTCTTTACCTTGATGACCCTGAAAAAGTAAAGCGCTTGCTGCTTCCAACCAAGCTCTCTGGTGGTACTGATGGAAAGAAAGTCTTAAAGACTGATGAAGCTTCTCCCAGCTTGATGAATTTGTTAATGGGAGTCAAAGTTTTGCAGCAGGCAATTATTGATCTACTTTTGGATATAATGGTTGAATGTTGCCAACCTTCTGAAGGAGGTTCACAGGGTGATTCTTCTGATGCAAACTGTAAATCTTCTCCTGAAGACAGTGGAGCTGCCAGTCCATTGGAATCTGACATGGAAAATAGTGCCACTGAATCTGAGCAATTTCCTGTATATGAGAGGTTGGATTCTGGTATGGATGATAGTAGCAGTGCATCTGCTGTGCAAAGCTCTGATATGAATGGGATTCATATCACTGAAAAAACAATTCCTGGACAGCCTATTTTTCCACCAGAAACCTCTGCTGGAGGGTCCTCAGAAAATGCCTCCCGTCGCTCAAAGGTATGCTTTGCAATCAGTTGTTGACTTGCTTGGTAAATTATTTTCTCTTTCTATTGACTGCTTGAACAAATTCAATATTCAGACCAAGTGGCCTGAGCAATCTGAGGAGCTTTTAGGATTGATTGTAAACTCATTGAGAACCCTAGATGGAGCTGTTCCACAACGCTGTCGGGAGCAGAGAAGGAGGCCTCAATCTGCACAGAAGATTGTTCTTGTACTGGATAAAGCTCCAAAGCATCTGCAGTCTGATTTAGTTGCTTTGGTGCCCAAATTGGTGGAGTCTTCAGAGCATTCACTTGCTGCTTATGCACTTCTTGAACGACTACAAAAGCCAGATGCAGAGCCTGCATTACGGATACCAGTAAGATAGTTTCTGGAAAGGCTTCCATTCTTTTAATTAATGGGTGCCTTGGGTTCTGCTTTTAGGGATATGTTTTAGATAATAGTAAAGGTTCAAATTTGAATATATTATAGCTTGCACATATGCCTTTTCTTTTGGTGAATTACTTTCTTCATCTTTAATCTCCTAATTACAGTTCTTTTGCTTTAGGTTTTTGGTGCTCTTAGTCAATTGGAATGTGATAGTGAAGTTTGGGAACGTATCTTATTTCAATCTGTCGAGCTGTTGACAGATACAAATGATGAACCTCTGGCAGCAACAATAGATTTTCTGTTTAAAGCTGCAACCCAATGCCAACATCTTCCAGAAGCAGTATGCACAATTTTCTCATATCATGATTGACTTGTATATTCTTTGAATCATATTAATCTCATCTTCCCTCTTCTGTAGGTCAGATCTGTCCGTGTGAGGCTAAAAGATTTGGGTATGGAGGTATCTCCTTGTGTCCTTGACTTTTTAAGTAAAACTGTAAATAGCTGGGGAGATGTTGCTGAGACCATACTTAGAGATATTGATTGTGATGACGATTTTAGCAACAATTGCTCTCCAACGCCTTGTGGCTTCTTCATGTTTGGAGAAAATGGGGGCAACTCTGAGAGGTTGCATATGGTAGAAGAGCAGGCTTTCCATGCTGGTCGTCATTTTTCTGATATCTATATCCTGATTGAGATGTTATCCTTACCTTGCCTGGCTGTTGAAGCCTCTCAAACATTTGAGAGAGCTGTGGCTCGAGGATCCATTCTTGCTCAGTCTGTAGCCATGGTCTTGGAAAGGCGCCTTGCTCAAAGATTGAATCTTAACGCCAGATATGTTGCTGAAAGTTTCCAGTATGGGGATTCTTCAGCAGAGGGAGAAGCCAATGAGCAGCTGAGAGGTCAGAGGGATGATTTTTCTTCAGTTCTTGGTCTTGCTGAGATGTTGGCCCTCTCTACAGACCTTCATGTTAGGGGCTTTGTGAAGATGCTGTATACAATATTGTTTAAATGGTATGCAGATGAGTCTTACCGCGGTAGGATGCTGAAGAGACTGGTTGATCGTGCCACCAGTGCTACAGAGAATAGTCGTGAAGTAGATATAGACTTGGATATTTTGGTTATTTTGGTTTCTGAGGAGCGAGAAATTGTTAGGCCAGTTCTGAGCATGATGCGTGAGGTTGCTGAGCTGGCAAATGTTGATCGAGCAGCTCTGTGGCACCAATTATGTGCTAGTGAGGATGAAATTATTCGAATGCGTGAGGAGCAAAAGTCTGAAATTACAAATTTGGGTAGAGAAAAATCTGTTTTATCCCAAAAATTGAGTGATTTGGAGGCTGCAAACAATCGTCTCAGGGTATGTCTGTTACTGTCAATGATAACAAGGACCTGGAATTGCCATCCCATCTGGATTAATCTTTAAAGTTCTAGTATTAACAACTTAACATGTTTTATGAAATGGCAGTCAGAAATGAGGACTGAGGTGGATCACTTTGCTCGGGAAAAGAAGGAACTTTGTGAACAAATACAAGAAGTTGAGAGTCAACTTGAGTGGCTTCGCCAAGAGAAGGATGATGAAATTGCAAAGCTTGCAGCTGACAAAAAGGCTCTTCAGGATCGTCTTCATGATGCAGAGGCACAACTCTCCCAGTTGAAGTCACGAAAACGTGATGAGATGAAGGTAACAAATTATTTTCTGTTCTTCAATCAATTCTCTGTAATCTCTTCTGGGCCATTCTCTGTGTTACATAGAAAATAAGAAGATTTTATTTATTTATTTATTTTTTCAATGTTGTCCTATATGGCATGTCTAACATGCTTCCCTTTTGGTGAGCTATTCCACATGCAGTTTTGGTGGATGGGGATCAGTACTCCTACAATAAGAAATGAAGATGTTCACTGTTTCTTATGGTTCTTTTTTTTTTTTTCCTTTTTGCATTGAATGTTATGTTGATGCCATTTCTGACAGCAAATAATGAATATAACAGAGGGTAGTAAAGGAGAAAAATGCTCTTGCTGAAAGATTGAAGAGTGCTGAGGCTGCACGGAAGAGATTTGATGAAGAATTGAAACGATTTGCCACAGAGAATGTGAGTCGAGAAGAAATTCGCCAATCACTGGAGGATGAAGTTCGAAGATTGACACAAACAGTCGGGCAAACTGAAGGTGAGAAGCGTGAGAAGGAAGCACAGGTTGCAAGATGCGAAGCATATATTGATAGCATGGAGTCACAGTTGCAGGCCTGCCAGGTTTTTTCTTCCTCAGCTTCATTTATTAATTGTGCTGTTTAATTGTCCTAATCATCATATCTCCTTTTATTTTGAATTCCTAGAAGCAGACGTTGTCTTTAGTACATGATCTTTATATTTCTCTGCCTATTAATTCATTTCTGAGCACTTGCAGAACCTGTCATCTTTCTTGAGAGCCCACTGTTTGATGTTCTATTATCTCTTGTTTTCCCTCATTAAGTAATTTCTCATCTTCTGCAGCAATATATTCATACCCTTGAGGCTTCACTTCAAGAAGAAATGTCACGACATGCACCTCTTTATGGTGCTGGTTTGGAATCCCTGTCCATGAAGGAGTTGGAAACCTTGTTCCGAATCCATGACGAAGGACTCAGGCAGATTCGTGCTCTCCGAGAACATAAAGGGAGTCCTGCTGGCAGTCCCCTTGTGAGTCCACACACAATACCACACAATCATGCGTACCCTACAGCGCCGCCTCCAATGGCCATGGGATTGCCTTCTTCACTCATTCCAAATGGTGTAGGTATCCATAGCAATGGGCATGTGAATGGTGCTGTTGCACCCTGGTTCAACCACAATTGAGTTCTGAGGTCATGTTCTTTTGTCTCTACTCATTTGTTCATCTGATAGTGCTGGTGACATCTCGATATCATACAACCGGATGTTACTACTTTGAAATATTGTTTTTTTCCTTTGATTGGCATTTTGACTGGTGGAACTGTTGGACCACATTTGTTAGGGTGAAGAGGAAGAATAATAGAGGTCTGAGGTCAAGGATGGACTTGGCAGTGTTGTGGTGATTGTATGTGCCACGAGGGAGTCCAATGGGACTACCAGTTGGAAATGCCATTTGCTTCCATTTTTAAAAGTTAATATAGGCCTTTTAAAGGTTTTTGCTCATTACCCACTTTTGCACCTCTTCTCTAGTTTTATTTATTTCTACTACGTTGCCTAATTATGCTTTCGAGAAACAACTTGAATTTCTTTATCTAGCCGGAGATCGTCAAGGTCTCAAGGTGCACCGATAAATGCTTTTTTTGGGTCTTATTACGCCAGTTAAGAGCCCAATAACTCTTTCTGGGCCTAATTTAGCCACTTCAGAAGCCCAAAACCTTTATGAGATTTTATCCATTTAACAGCAGGAGATGTTAAAACCTTTCCGTGTGGGCCTCCTATAAGCTTAAGCCCAAATTCTTGTCAATAGGGGTTTGGCAAATGGTCAACAAGAGCTGGAACATTGCGTGATTAATTTAATTTTGTCAAACGGATCATGATTCATGACATTATCCAAAAACCCAACATGAAAGGATCATCATTGATATGTCAACTCAATATCAGAAAAAACCGTTGATCTTTCGACTTGAAGGAGAAAATCAAATCGTAGATAATCATGGATCAGTCATACAATTATCCGGACAAGTTTGCTTGAAAAAACCTAATTGCTCACGAAATTAATGGACCTCTTTCTTTCCTTTCTTCTTTTCCATATGATTATAATATTCTTCCACACTAATTGCAAAATTTGATCCACTTGATTTATACTAATTCAAATTTAAAACTTCTAATATAGTGGCTCTTATCCTCTTAATTATTTAGATATCTTTTAGGGAATGGAACAATTCATAAAATTAGTGGCATAAATAGAGATGCAATTAAGTGTGACTCAAATCATTTTAATTTCAATTCATTGTGACCAAATTAGTTGAGAATTACTAACAAAAATTTAATGAAATTGATATTCACTAACTAAAAAAAAAAAAAAAAAAATCTTATTTTGGTATTAAGATCATCCATTTAAACACTAACAATGTTAAGTAGTTACTCTTGACGTTTAAAAAAAAAAGAGCAAATTTGTAAAATAAAAAAAAAATATGGGTGCAAGTAATATTAATGTTGGTGGACGAAATGAAGCATAAAGATAGGAAGGCTTGTGGGAGCGAAAAAAATCAATCAAAACGTGGGCGATAAATATCATTTGACTTTTTAGATTGTTCTCTTCCACAAGTTTTTGGCATATTTCTATTTAAGCTAACTCAAACTCCCAATCAAGAATAGTAATTCCTTTGCTTTCCCCATTTATTTGGGGGACAAATTTACCTCTCATTTCTCTTTCCCTTCCTCTTTTTCTTCCTCTTCCTTTTAAAAAAGAGAGACTAAGTTACATCTTCATTCTTCTCTCTTGCTCGGCACTGCTGGATTGGTTATACATTAGTATACTTGAGCTGCCCATATCCTACTATTTCAGTG